CCCCAGACCTCTTGTATACTCTCTCCCTTGTGTGTACACACACACACACACACACACACACACACACACACTTGGACATGGATTTCCACAGTGTGAGCTATATCTATATGTATTGTGAGCCTGACAGCCTCGTGTGCACTCAAGTGTTCTCCACACAGTCAGGACAGAACGCGGTTTCCTGCATGAGTGAAGGAAGGCAGCCAAGGGAAGTGGCTCTGTGACCATCCTTGTCCCAGCAGCCCACAGACAATCACATCATGTGACCTTGAGGAAGAGCCTTGGGAATGAATATTCAGGGACTGCGGGGTCGCTCCATGTTGTCCAGCCTAGCATCAGCTCCTGGGCTCTGCTGTCCTTGCTTCTTCTGGGTGTCCGGGACCGCAGGGGAGTGTCACTTCATAGCTGGCTTCTCTGTGAGCTGCTTTGCTACCACTTCTCATTTTATTTCCTGCTTTACTAGACTAACACTAGCCAGGCTGGGGATGAGAGAGCTGGACGCTAACCTCATAAAGGTTTGCGTTTTTTGATATTTGTAAGCAAACATGAATTTACGAAGGAAAACGGCCCAGAGTCCATTTAACCCAGCTGTGTAAAGTACACAGGAGTGGATGGCTCAGAGGTGGGGCTGAGCTGTCCCTAGACATACAGCAAACTGTGGTACTGCTGGAGTAACATGTGGTTTTGGCTCTGCCTATATTACCCAAGAAAGACCAATAATATAACAATGCACCACGTATTCAGAGCTTACTATAGGCCCAGCCCTCAAGGAGCCACACAAGGTGCCCTGGGTGGCAAACACTGCCCTACTGCAATGGTATTACATGCCAGGAAAGCTTTTAGGGTGTACGTGTGAAGGGGTGGGACTTGGGGTTTCAGGAGAGATGAAGATGAGAGCCTGGGAGTCACTGAGGATGTAGGCTTTTTTTCCCTGGGATTAGGGCGGCAGCACCAGCAGCAGGTGAGATGCCCATCTAGACGTCAGGAGCTGTGTGCACATTCTGTGCCCTAGGAGAGAACGGGCACCAGCACAGTTGCCGTCTGCGCCCTAGGAGAGAACGGGCACCAGCGCAGTTGCTGTCTGCGCCCTAGGAGAGAACGGGCACCAGCGCAGTTGCTGTCTGCGCCCTAGGAGAGAACGGGCACCAGCGCAGTTGCATTCTGCCCCCTGAGAGAGAGCGGGCACCAGTGCAGTTGCATTCTGCACCCTAGGAGAGAGCGGGCACCAGCACAGTTGCCGTCTGCGCCCTAGGACAGAACGGGCACCAGCGCTGTTGCCGTCTGCACCCTAGGAGAGAGCGGGCACCAGCAAGTTGCATTTGCAGTTACTGATGGAAGGCAGCACTCTGCTTGTAAGGCATGGGGACAGGTGACAGAGTTCAGCATTCTCACTGCCAAAGATTTTCTCTTTCTTCATGGGGCGGCAGTAAGAGCTGGGGGTCTGGCAGGGTTGGCATCACTAGAAGGTGGCAAATCTATAGAAGGTGGCAAATCTTGGAGGAGTTACCATTCAGCCAGTCTGGGACTCAGTTTCCTTCTCTAAAGTAGGAGTCATGAATAGATCATAATGGCTCAAGCGTGTATTTCCAGCGCTTGGGCAGCTGGGGCAAGAGAATTGCCGGAATCTGATCTTGGGCTATGTAGTGAGTTCAGGATAGCCTGGGCTACATATGAGATCCTGTCTTAAGAAACAACAGAACTGAGCCAATTGGGAGCCAAGTAGCCAGCACTCGGGAGGTAGAGAGGCAGGTGGATCTCTGTGAGTTCAAGGCCAGCCTGGTCTACACAGTGAGTTCCAGGGCAACCAGGACTGTTATACAGAGAAACCCTGTCTTGAAAAACCAAAACTAAACCAAACCAAATCAAAACAACAACAACAACAACAAAAACCCACAACAGGACTGGATCTGGTTGTGGGTGGGTGGTTCCCTCATATAATCCTAGCACTTGAAAGACTGAGGCAGGGGTGTGGGTGACTATCATACATTTTAGGTCAGCTTGAACAGTGTGAGATCCTGTTTTCAAAACAAAAATAAAAATAAATAAAAATTAATAAAGTAGACCAGAGATTGCATGTTTAGTGCTTGGTGTCTGATGGACAGCAAGTGTTACCTGCTAGTCATGCCTGTTCAATTAAGGCACACTGAACACATACATGTGGTCTGTCTGGTACAGGCCGCTATGGATACAGAATTGAACAAGTTGCCGGCCCTCTCTCTGGGCATATACTTGAGTATATAGGCAGAGGAGCCAACTAGTGCATATGTGTGTGCACATGTGTGGGGATGTGTGTGTATGTGTGGGGATGTGTGATGTAGGTGGGTCATCTGTCTATCTGTTGCTTTCATTGGTTAATTAATAAAGAAACTGCTTGGCCCGATAGGTCAGAACATAGGTGGGTGGAGTAGACAGAACAGGATGCTGGGTAGAAGGCAGTGAGGCAGAAGCTATAGCTCTCCTCTCCAAGATGGATGCAGGTTAAGATCCTTCCTGGTAAGCCACCACCTCATGGTGCTACACAGATTATTAGAAATGGGTTAATCAAGATGTGAGAATTAGCCAATAAGAGGCTAGAACTAATGGGCCAAGCAGTGTTTAAAAGAATACAGTTTCAGTGTAATTATTTTGGGTAAAGATAGCTGGGTGGCGGGAAGTGCCCCACTGCTCCCACACTACAGATGTGTTTGCACAGGAGTAAAAATGTGTGTGCACAGGAGTGAGCATATGTGTATACATGTGG